CCCGCTCAGAGACCCAGGTCGTTGCCACGCATCTCTGCTTGTCTAGCTGACATCTCTCAGTGGATGTCTGCTCACCACCTTCAAGCTCAACCTTGACAAGACTGAGCTTCTCTTCCTCCCGGGAAAAGATTGTCCCACTCTTTGACCTAACAATCAACATCGGCACCTCAGTTGTTTCCCCGACTCAGACGGCAAGGAATCTGGGTGTGACCCTAGATAACAACCTGTCCTTCACTGCAAACATCGCTGCTACAACCCGTTTGCTGCAGATACACGGCTTTACAACCATCAGAAGATCACGTCCCCCAGCTGACTCAGAAAGCGACTCAGCTCTGGTCCAGGCTCTCGTCATCTCACGCCTAGACTACTGCAACTCCCTCCTGGCTGGTTCTACCTGCCATGTGCCATCCGACCTCTGCAGCTCATCCAGATGCAGCGGCTCGTCTGGTCTTCAACCTTCCTAAATTCTCCCACACCACTCCGCTCCTCCGCTCCCTTCACTGGCTTCCGGTAACTGCTAGAATCCACTCAAGACACTGGTACTTGCTTACCATGCTGCGAATGGATCTGGCCTTTCCTACATCCAGGACATGGTTAAACCGTACACCCCAGCGCGTGCACTACGCTCTGCATCAGCCAAACGACTCGTTGCGCCCTCGCTGCGAGGGGAACCAAAGTTCCCATCGGCGAAAACACGTGGGTTTGCTGTCCTGGCTCCAAGATGGTGGAATGAGCTCCCCATTGACATCAGGACGGCAGATAGCTTGCACATCTTCCGGCGCAAACTGAAAACTCATCTCTTTCGACTCCACTTCGAGCGTTAGAAACTATTAACGAAGCACTTTTATACTAATAAAGGACTGGCTTACCTAAAGCCAGTTGAGTAGCACTTGAAATGTTTGGCTCTATGAAACCTGATGTACTTATATGATTCTGTTTTCTTCAAGGTTGTGTCTTCCTGGTCGAATGTACTTATTGTAAGTCGCTTTGGATAAAAGCGTCAGCCAAATGCAATATAATGTAATGTAAATTTTTATTTATATAGCCCAAAATCACAAATCAGAATGAGGGGGTCCTTGGTGTATTCTCTATCTTGTAAGGGGTCCTTGGCTGAAAAACAATTGAGAACCTCTGCCCTACAGACCAACCCATCAACTATGTAGCATACTGTAGTAGTGTCGTGATTTATATAGTGAGTACCCAATCAGATCAGCTATATAGCCTAAACAACGCAATCATTCATACACATTTGAAACGCATATTTGGCCATAACTTGTCCTGGATAACTGCTTTTTCTCACAAATGAGTTAACTTTAATCCGGCTAACGGTTAATGGGGTAAAACCACACGCCTCGACACTAGAGCGCTCTTCATTTTCAACAAACAGCTACACTTATACTGGAGGAGCCCACTCTAATAAACTTGTTGCTTTTTAAAGAGTTTTCCCGCTATAGCTAGAGATTATTTAATTCATTGTTTTACACACCTATTATTCACAATTAGGCAACTACTGTGTTTAACTACTAACGTTAGAACAGCTAGCAAGCGCCAGCTAACGGCTAACGTCAAGTGGAGAAAAGTAGTCAAGTTAGCATTAGTTAACTTCTGTGAATTCACATGTCCTTACCTTTCTCCTGGTTAAAGGATATTATTTCCTCCTCCTTCGGGTTGGAAACTTGGGTTATTATGGACATGTGGTCCATTTAGACGGGTGGTTACTCCTGTTTGTTTCCCCACAATGTTATTCGTACTAGCGCGCGTTAGCTAGCTCCTGCTAGCTAGCCGTTCAGGATGGAGATGAGCAGCCAGCCCACAAAGCAGGGCAGCCGTCCGAGGAGAAGTGTGGAGGCAGCGGGTGTAGCCAGCTCGCTAGCACGGTGGTGAATGGAAGCCAGTGGGAGGCTATCATTTATGGCAAAATATCATTGCTGCAAACAAGTATTTTGCGAACAACACCGACAGCGTGAACGGCTAACACAAATACAAACCGACGTTGAATTGCTAACTAGCTGAAGTTAGCAAGTAGCTTAGGTTAGCGAGTTAGCTGTGGAGCTCCGATCATCCAAAATGTGAGGCCGTGTCAGGAACAACGCTGAAAACACTAGGAAGCCCGTCGTGGTTCTTGTCCAAACACATGTATCGACCGCAAGTTGCTGGACGTCAGAGTTAGCTAACACTTTTAAGCAAACAGTTCATATCAGCTGGCCCTTCATTCCCGTGCAACATGGAGGCTTTATGTATTTTGAGTTGCATCTGAAGCGGGGGCTCTCTGAGTGGGAGGGGGCGGTGTGTTTCTGTGATGGATCCTCTCAGGCAGCCAGCCTCGCCGCACTATTGCTCAACCCATGCAGCTGGCTGGACTTTCTCAAGCCTCCTTACCCCTGTAATTACTGCTGGCATGCCTGGCAACAAATTATACATCTTTATTATATTAACAAAACAAGAATACAGTTAGAAACAACACACGTTGTTTAGCGGAATAGGTCGAAACCAAGCTTCAATCCCAGGCAAACAACACCAACAGCAGATTTTCAACAATCCATGAAAATAGTTGACTTTTATCCAAAACCCATGATGTGTTCAGATCGTTCCCCTTATGTGATTTATCTACTACTTATAAGTAGAGAGCGCTACCTAGCGTTTAAATGACGGAAATATTTCATGCATTTATAATAGCCTACATATGCTACCAGTATTTCACATCAGTCGCAGTATTGGATTTGAATGTGCCAAGACATTCCTTCATAATGGAACAATGACTGAAAACTGAGGGGGGGGCGGGATCATTAAATCCCTCAAATATTTTCGTGACTTTATAATCTATTCTGGTACACCGTAGAGAGGATACCAAAACAACTAAATAAAATGTATGGCAAAAATAAGAAGAAACCATAATTGCTTTTGACAGTCATATTTCACATACAATATATTTTCAGATGCCTTTTAAAAATCTAATCCATTATATTTGTTTGCCATCAGAGTCTTTCACTGTGATCATGTTGGCATATGCTATTGGTTGATTCTTTCCTCCTCATTTTTACACACTGTCCCGTCTCCAGTAAGGTCTGGTTGGCTCACTGTGGACCACCCCTCACTGCGCTGCAGAAGTGGAAGATAAATATATCCCCCTCCTTCTCCCACTCCCCCCTCCTTCTCCTTTCGTTGAGTCCGAAACATCCTGACTGGCCGAGGCTGGTGATCGCAGGCAGCGGCAGCGGCAAGCCCCCCTTCAAGACGGATGAATTAGAAAAAGCTGCAGTATCCACCGACACCCCGTTGCTTTCTTTTATTCATTCTCTATATTGAAGAGTCTGGCTGTAAACACCGCTGCCCCCGCACCTTGACAGTGTGAAGCGGATACAAGGTTAGTAAAAACAAGTAGGCTATGATTGTTTGTATAGGGTTTTATTATGAGTATACATAACAATCACTGCAAAATCCCTGTGTGTTAGTGCTTCTGTCTGCATGGGGGCATTGAAACAGTAAACCAGTATTTGTATGCAGGACGCTTTGCTGGGGTCCTGCTTAGCCATGGTAACATATTGGCATGAAGTTGTTAGTCCAACAATTTGAACTTCAACTAGACATGATCCTGACACACAAACACACCACACACACACACACACACACACACACCACACACACACACACACACACACACACACACACACACACACACACACACACACACACACACACACACACACACTCAACCAGGTACAAGTGCCATATTCTCCACTGGAAAGTAGCTGTCTCTCTGTTGTTCCTACTCCGATGCACCATTCTTGGTCATTCCTGTCAGGGCTAATTATTCTGTGAAGTGAGTCCCCATGCAGCTCCTCAGCTCAGATCACATAGCACTGCAGCTGCCCCGCTGCACTGAGCACCAACTGCAGGAGCTATAATGGGAAGGAGAGGTAGGGTTGCGCAGCTGACAGTGCTGATTCCGAGGAGCCAGGGCTTTGCAGTACTATTTAAGTCCCTGCCCTGTCAATCCTTTAGGCTTATTAGTACAAATGTCCCTTAATTGATGGTCTGTATGTCCAGTAGAACCTATATTTTATGTGTGTTTTCAAAGGGAGTTTCATGTAATCACCATCATAAGTTTTATGGGTGTTAAAGACAGTTTTTTCCAATAGGCTATTGTTAAATAATTTCAATGGGGGTTTATATGAATAGGATGTACAAAGTGAACACATCTTAAAAGTACATGCTCTTGTCTCAGACCAGAATAAAAACACATTCCTTCCAAATAGTCATCTGAAAATCTTTTGCTTTTTTTCTAAGACGTGTTTTTTTCTTTCTGCCGCTTTCCTTCATTCAGTGAGATCTTATATTGTGTGGCTGATTGCTTTCCATTCCATTAGGCTTCCAGTTTACGGATTCACCATGGGGATCAAGTCTGCCCTGCCCAGATATGAGCTGTATCTCTACACAGCCGTACTCGGCGTGGCCTTGATATGGGCAGGCAGTTGGATATTTGAAGCTTCAAGTGGTGAGTTCATGAACAGTCAAAGACATGTCCAAAGCACGTGCAGTAACATATTGAAGCTCAATTTTATATTTATTGAGACAGAGAAAACGAGCACTTTCAGAGCAGCTGCTCCGTCTTGTACCAATTTAATGAGTAAAAAAACATACATTTAGCCCTCTCAGTCCTAATAAATCCCACTGAAAACTACTTAACAATGGGAATGATTTATTAAAATGTGCTTCAAAAAACAAGACCCCTAATTATGACACAAGTACATAGAACAAAATTCCTTTAGCAGAACAAAAAATACCCTAATCCCCCAATACCTTCGTGTTTCTATTAATAGGCAGACAATTTAAAGATGTTCCAATTACTTTTAATTATTTTTCTGGTGGAGATATTTCAGACTAAAACTAAATTACACTCATCATCTAATCCCAGACGCTTCGTCCCGAAATACTCCCAACTGTTTGCATGTATTAGACAGTAAATAGCTAAAAGTATCCTCTTTACATATGGCTCTGAATGGATTTAGTGTAATCTGGTGAATGGTACTGTCTGTCACAGTCAGATCGGCTATGGCAGAGTCATATTGTCATTTGGTCCTGATTATTTTTCTTCCTGATTCTCTTGAAATGCTCATTTTTGGCTGCTCAGTCTTTCGGCATTTACACCGACAGTAGCACTGTACATTCATAATAAAAGCTTGGCTGCGTTCCCTGGAGTAAGAGGCTTTCCCTGAGTGACCCTTAGACTACTAATGTCCATTAGTGTAACAAGGCAAAGCTGGAGTGGCTGGGGGTGTTGCCTTGAATAGGAAGTATTAACATCAATGCCATGATTCTGATCGCTTTCACACTTATATTTGTTATCTAATATGGTTTTTGTGTTTCGCGTTTCATTCAGATTGTGCAGTGAACTAATCTCTTACAACCAGATTATGACCACATGAGTGTGAATATGTCAGACTCAAAAATAGAAAGCTTTGCAGCTAGTGCATTATGTAATATGTGATGTTATCAGATGGAGTGAATGGGCTTGTGCACCTACAATTCACTGGGATCATCCTAAAGTGACCCCAAAGCTGTTCCAGCAGGACCTTGTTCTCCAAATGATTATTACAAAGACACCCAAAAATGAAGCTGCCCAAAGTCTGGATTTAGCTCCTCTAAACCTTAAAGCGTAACCATACTGTATATTGCTCTGTTGAAAATATAATACCACGTTGATAAAACACTAAATCTTGTTCTGTTTTTTCATTCAGAGAATATAGACAGGAAGGCCTTCAAAGAAAGTGTGCAGCCAGGATGGCATTACTTTGGCAGGAAAATGGTAAATTGCGTATCTTAATGTGTTCTACAATTGGATTTCCTAATGCAGGATGTTAAATGAGAGAGTGTTGGTCACGTGTTAATGATGAATCCTTCTTTGCCACAGGATGCTGCAGACTTCGAATGGATGATGTGGTTCTCTACATTCCGCAATCATATCCTTTTCGCTCTCGCCGGTCACGTTATATTTGCAAAGATATTCAGCCTGCTAGCTCCAAAGGTGCGTGCATGTGTGTGAATGTCCATCAGCTATAGCACGGTAATCTGACTGCATACAGGTATAATGGCATGTAACTTATTAAGAGTATATGTATTGGATGTATATATACACGTGTGTGTGTTTTGGTGTGTTTGATTGCACAAGCTTTGCACCAATCAATTCGATTGATTTTTTATTAAATTATTTACGCACACATAAGGCTGCAAGAAATCTAGATTTAAACATATGAAATGTGACAGGTGAAGTCAAGAAGCCCCAGGCGCATAACGAAAACGACCCTGGTAACAAACCCCCCCTCTACCTCAGAAAAAAAAAGAAGAAAAGAGAAAATTCAAATAAATATATCAAATACAATATAGGTAACAATGGGAATAAGGAAAATAAAGTCCTGGCCAAAAGGATGTTGAAAATGATCAATATCCCGATATCAATATCCCGATATTATATGAATAAATTGTGGAATTAAATTAGAAGAAGTTGCTATATGATGATGGTAAAGAAAAATGCATGCAAAATATATCAACACATTTTTATGTCGTGTATGAAAATAAATGAATTGTATATTATTGTAGGAGTATGTCTTTTTGCCAAAACAATATTACCATCATTCCAACAGAGATAAATCATGAAATAATATAACGTAAATACATATTATTGTGCATGCAAAGCTATGTGCTGATGTAAGGCCTTGGGCTGTAAATTACAATCTGTTCAGTTCAATACAATTTTATTTCATTAAGAAAAATGGGTCATATTGTATATTTGTACCCCAAGGTCTAACACCTAATTGAGTTGATGCATGAGCATGGGTTGCATTCTGTTGAACTGTGATGGTGTGGATTGCTGAGTGTCTATTCGACATATTTAGCACAGTTGTTTTAAACATGTTTTTCTGTTTTGTTCCATGCTTACAATGAAGATTGGTATAAATGGATGTAAGGTAACATTAATAAACTTGTGAATTTTATAACATTTGTCATGTGTGTCATTCAAACCATTTCAACATGGAGTTGTTGTTATTCCACAATTTAACCTTTCCATTCTATCCATATTGTAAATGCAACAGTGTTATACTAACACCAATCCTCATGTGTGATAAATGAATTCATGAGTAGTACAAGTATTCCCAGGATGCCGTCACACTCACGCTGGCCTGTGTACCCACAGCACAGATCCTTGATCTTTGGGGTGTACGGTGGTTTGGCCGTCCTGGTCACCATGGGCTGGACCTACATGGCTCTGGTTCTGTCTCACTGCATCATCCTCTACAGCGTCGCCCTGGTCAAAATGAAGT